GATACGGATTTTATCTTAGTTCAATAGGTCCTCTGTTCTCTGCTCAAGGATTGTTACTTAAAAATTAATTCTAAGGCGCAAATCTTAAAGCTAGTTAATGTCTGGCTCCAAACAGAAGGGGACCGTGGAGTCCAGGACGTAACAATATCTCTAATCATTTTCGAGATAAATTGAGAAAAGTGAAAAGCCGCTCTACATATGAGGGGTGATTTCATCCCTTAAAACCGTTTTTGGGCAGCAATGGAAAATGTCAATATTCATCTATTGACCTCCCTTACATGTGTGCAAAGTTTCATCAAAATCAGAATTTTCGGGTTCGCGAGGTTTTCTTGTCAGTCCGCTAGACCACTTGTTCCTTACCATAATGTAATTAGTTTTGGCTCTTATGACCGAAGATTTCATGTTTTTGTAATTATTTTTCTTTACTTATTCTTAAACTAGTCTACACATTTCATTTAGTATTTAATAATAAGAAATATTTAATGATAATTGTTCTTATTATAAAATTTAACTACGATAAACTTTAGTTATCATTGAATATATATTTATGTATCATGTTTTTTTTTAAATAAATTTAATATATAAATAATTTAAATATATTATATATTATATATTATAATCAGTTTACCAAAGTGTACGTGGCTACTTATCTATAAATAAATGACTATACTTATCTATAAATAATGTATTTAAAAATATAATATTATTCAAAAAAACAAATGTTATTAATAAACATATTATTATAATTAACGGTTGAATTTAACTCAAGGTTGTTGTTAGAACTTTATTTAATCGTTTTATTGATGTCATATTAAAATTCAATATATATAAGTTGATATATGACGTCAACGCGACATCTAAATGACGTCATATCGGCGACGTCAATTTTTGGTATTGTAAATGACGTCAAAATAACATACCATTTATGTAACTTAACGTCGTAGTCATCAAAATCACTTCATTATCACGTCATTATCACGTGAGCTTGCTTGCTGGCGATCAGAAAGAATGCCTGGAAGTCGTGCATATCGTATCTTTGTCGTGTCGTGGATGTTGCCGTTGTAGTCGTGGCGTAGTGTTGTCGTCGTATCGTACTGCGGATCCCGTCGGTCAAACTTATCAGAAAATCATGTAAAGTACGAAGTATAAAATAAAGAACAAAAAGTCGGTACAAAAAGAGAGTTTTTTGTTCTTCCTACAAAGCAAGGCATCGAGTTGGCTTCAGGGTCGTGGCCTGGCATGAACCGAGTGCTATTGTCGTGTCGGAGTTGAGTGTCGCGCACGATTGTTGACTCCGTGGCTGAAGATCGGGAAGCAGTCGTGCAGTATAATATCAATAAGGTCGAGTCAGAATAAACTCAGATTGAATTTACAGATTTTACAGATTGAGTAACAAGAATAAATACCATCCAAATTATGAATTTAGCTTCAAAGATTTCAACTCACAAGGCTCTGTGGAAATTAAAATTACAGCTCCACAATTTAAACAAACACCGAACAAATTCAACCTTAACGAAAAATGGTTTATTAATCTTACTAACTTAACAATACCAAACGAGGTTTCAGAAATTTTACAATTTGGCGGCAGATTTTCTTTACCAGTTACACATCCCAAGCAACCAGCTGACGTTGTAATGACGTAAATATACGTGATTTTTGTCACTAATTGGTGATTATGACCTAAATCTGACGTTATTTTGAACGTCATAACAATGACGTCAGTATATACGTCACACATATACGTCATATATGATGTAACTCTTGGTCTTTAGAGTAACGTCAGTTGA